ATATTGACGTTAATTAAAAAAAAAAAAAAAAATCGAATAAAAATAAAACTTCAAGTACTTTATCATATTTGAATCTTTTTAATGATGACGGCAGAATATTGCCAAGGGAAGTCGGAATGGCTGGACTTTACCCTAGAGCATACACACAATCGGAAAAAATCTAGGATATCATTTTATTAAAGTATATATAGGTGAAAAAATAGTTGCTTTTGAAGAAAGAACTACATTATTTAGGCTGATTTTCTATTTTCGATTGAAACGAAGTAATCACACTAGTTATTTCTAAATCTGGGATATAAAAGTGGTTGGTGTGCATTTTTGTCAACTGTATAAAAAGCACCTAGTATCAATTGTACGAATCAGAACCTAATTAAGAGGTTTTTATATAACTGGCCAGAATTCATTCAAATAACTCTCTTAGTATTAAACGACATTATGTAGCGTAGACATCTTAACAGACACGAAATGCCAAGGGCCATGAGTATGCTTGAAGCTGGAATGCGCCAAATCGACGAAGCTAGAGCATTAAATACAACGCAAAGTGTAATATCGCGATTAAGTGCACGCTACCGTGAAAGTGGTGATGTTGCTGAAAAACACACAGGGCGACATCGCATTACTACCCCTGAGCAAGATCATTTTTTACAATTAACGCTCCACACCGACCGACTTTACAGCAATTCAGAGCTTTTGAGTTTAATTCCTAGAAACGATATTTGAAGCCTAAGATCATAATATAATGAACAATGGGCCATTGTTCTCTTCACGGATGAGTCACCTTTGGAATTCATCCGGACTCGAGAAGGCTTAGGGTAAGGAGAGAACCGGGAAATCATATTCGGTTGGATCATATTCAGGAAGTGCACCCTTACTAAGGGGTGGAACAGCAGTCTGGGAGAGTCCAAATATTTTGAAGATTAAAGATTGTGATTTAATTTTTGAGCCTGTCGTGTTACCATATGAAAGTGATTTTGGGAGAAACTTCATTCTCATGCATGACAATGCACGGCCTCATACAGCCAGAGTGGTAAGTGAGCTTATCAATGTTCATCAATTAAACATCTACGCCGGTACAATCTCCTGACCTCAAAACCAGCACGTATGGGACGCGGCCCAAAGAAGAATTTTGAGAATGGGCATGCCTCGTGAAACTCGTAGGAATCTGGTTCGGGCTGTGAATGTACCTTAAGAAGAGATTGACAACCTCATCATGGAGAGACGATGTAGAACTGTAATGAACAGTAGATGAGACCATACCCTTTATTAAGTCAAAATGGTTTTGATTTTTTTTTATGTAAATATATTGTGTTAATATAAAAAAATGTGTAGTATTTTTTGAGTTCAATAAAATAAGGTAAATTCTTTGAAAATCTGCAAATTTATTAAAAACAAAAAAAAAACTATTTATTATTTAATTTGATGAGAAACGGGCCATTAAAATTACTATCGATGGCTGGATGAATAGAATATCCCCTAGATTCTTCATGTGTATATGTAAGTTATAATTACTTAAATTAATAATTTTATCGGTGTTTGCTGACTAAAATAAAAATGGGCACCGAAAATCTTCACTGCTGTTAGTACACTGCTGTACCGAAAATCTTCACAAGCTGTTAGTCTAGGAGGCCTAACAGCTCCGTAGATTTGGAAGATGTTACCAGGAAAAGCATAACGGGAAGTCACCAGTTGCTTCAATGCTATCAGAGATGAAAGAAGCGACGAATTTGTGGATAGGGTTTTAGAGTAAGTGGTATCAAAACCATTGTTGAATAGGTAAAAATAACTGTCTTGTTTGCGATCTCAACTTGCTGTGGGAAATTTTGAATGGTATTTGGACTCGGCATTTTTATCTATTTTTTTTTTTAAATTGCTTTCATTTGAACCTAATAAATAAAAATTGAGTGATTTTAAGAAAGCTGCCTGTAGATTTCACCCGATTATAAAAACGTCAAATCGTTATTTATAGGAAATAATTGTTGTTGGCATTTAAAGGTCACCAGAACAAAACCGAGCATCTTCTTCTTCTTGCTTAAGTGTCAAGGAAAATGAAGAAAACGAACACAATACCTGCACCGCACTAATAACATACATTTGTTGCAATTTGCTAAATTATTGCAACTAGAGTCTGCATTATTTCACTTTCACTTATTTTGCAGCTGGCTTTTTCTTTCTTCAAATCATTATGTTTCGTTAATTATACCAAAAAGCAATAATTAAGCTAAGCCTGAGGATTGATAATAATTTTTCTTATTTTTTTCTATGCATGAATATTCGTCATTCATTTTGATTTTTTTACCTGAGTATAGTTGCTATCCATATGTATTCATGCATAGTAGACGGAGATGGGAATCTAGGATGGGGATCCTTCACGATTCATTTGACACATTTTGAGGTGATTTAAAAATTAATTTAAAAAAAAAAAAAAAAGTTATTTTTATGGTTTACATATCTGTGGATTTAAATTTGTTAGATATGAAGTTTAAAGGAATTTTAAAGAGAATTTAAAATTAACAGTGATGCTATTGCAATTTATCGTAAAGAAAAGTAAAAAATCAAAAGTTATTTCCGGTGAAACAGTGAAGTGATTAAAACAATTGAATACGTCAATCATCCCATGTCATATACTAACATAACAAATCTTGTTTTTTTAAGTGAAAAATAAAAAGGTATAGGGTGAGCCACTTTTGAGATGCACCGGTATATGTAAATTATACGTGTAAACCGACTATTTATGAAATTCACTCAAAATTAAGTAATTTTTATTTTTGTATTTCTTTTTTTTTTTTTTTTTTTTTTTATATTTTTTATTGTAAAGTTTGTAGTAGAATATTGATGTTTTATATAAAGAATTATGAGAAGGATCGGGCTTTTTATTAGAATTATATGGTTTATCAACAATTTTAATAATTAACAAACATCTTCGAACAACGTACAAAACACCACGACGAGCTCCACTTAATTCGTATTTTTTGCGGTTTTGAATAAATTTAGAACGGTAAACCCTGATAAACCGGAATTTAAGTCGGCTATTTTAGGTCCCCATCGCGCTCGATCTAAGTTTTTTGATATGCTCCTTCCCTAATCTTTTTACTCAAAAGAATATATAGTGTTAGATTATATTAGATTGTCTTGTTTTTTCTTTATTATTTTTCGGTTCCACTTTTCTAAATCGGGCACAGTTAGGTTACTAGTTTGCGCACATAGTTGCACGCCCACTTATGGTCTTTGAAATTATGCACAGCGCCTGCCCGGCACAGTTATTAGAGAGATATCGGAAACCGAATAGCGTCATGCAGTATTTACGCGTACATATCATGGTTACGATATGCGAGTCAATTTTTAACGCAACACCCACTAATAACGTTACCGCCTGACGTAATTTGCGGACTACACTAAGCGATATTTAAATAAAAATTGCTACCGGCATGGGTGGGTATTTGACAACCGGGCCGGCCGGCGAGATTTTTTTATTTTAGGTTAGTTTGAATTGTTTTGAATTATTACTTTGGTTTTATTAGGTAATTTGATATTTAAGTAGCTGGGATTAGTGAATTAAATAAATATGGCCCAAAATATGAAATCCACCTCTTCCAATACATTGTTAAAGTATCCTATAAAATGTCTTAGGTTTACAGCAGTTGATGACTTAGCTCTTCTAAGAGAATTTGTTACTTGTTGCCCTAAACCCACTGGCAGAGACGTTGAACAATAAAGCACCGGAAATAAGCACTTTAGCCCTTTACTTTTAAAATACCTAGTAAACAAACAATTTTGCAAGTTTTAAATTAAAGTTAGGTTAAGTTTAAATAGCGGACACGACGCGAACAGAATTATAAATGAAGAGAGTTATACCACCTCACGTAAAGGAAATACCACCTGCCCTTATTAAGGTCTATGCACGCTATTCGGTTTAACGATATCTCTCTATTACGCTGTTTATTTGTTATTTTAATGCTTAGTTTTGGCTTTGCAGCACAGGAAATTTTACCAAGTTTGCACACATCGTCATAAAAACAATTTCAATACCAATGAATTAGGATAAGATTTTATCTGTATACATAGTATACCTAATCTGTGATAATAGTCTTAGGTTACTAAGCCACTTAATTCAAGAAGCTTATTTTTTTGCTAGCATCTGATTTGTATATCTTAGGACTTGTGTCTTGTAAAGAAGGCTGCAAAGTCATCTACATTATGTGCCTGAGGCACGCACAGATTTTTGATAAAAATACTTTCTTGCTTGAAACGACAGAAAAGTATTTTTCAAAAGTTATTATCTATACCTGTCTATATTGAAAGAAAACATTTTTTTTTTTTTGAACTATAAATTTAATTTTATTTTAAAGACATTTTGATTTAAAAAAGAATTAACCCTGGAACTCATACACATAACTTAATACGAAAGAACAAACAACATTAGCGCATATATGGATTAATTTCTTACCATTCAATTTGCACGTAGCAATGCAACCCTCATTTTCGCCAGTTTGCCTGAAGAAAACACTATTATTTTTTCTTAATTCACAAATTTCAGAAGTTAATGATATTAAGAATCAGAATATCGAAGAGCATTCTTTTTCTCTCAGTATTGTTAATTTATCAAAGGATTAGATGCCAAACACATTACTTCATTAAGTCAATTCTCGATAATTTTACATAGAACAACAACTAGCCTTTCTCTTTTCCATGGCCGTGCTACTCGTCGATGATTTTTCGATATATTTCCTTATCACTAACTAAATAAACAATCGGTCATACTTAAAAACGTTTTATTTCAAAAAATTCAGTATCATTCACCTCGTCAATTTATAAATCAACATGACTACTGTTCAATAATAGTTGGCTGGGCTAATTCTATAATAAGAATGTAGAAAGTCAATGAATTACTCATCACTGATATTATCGAGAGAATTATACACAGTTTAAATCTTTATTTACCGAGATTACCTGCCACAAGCAAATTAAACAACAAAATAGATCACGCACACATTAAGAAAAATAATAAATACAAAAATGTAACGTAGAGAAGATCACTTTAAACCCAACCGTTTAGCTGGCGACACTAGTTAAAAAGTCCTCTAAAATTACTTGCTTTAAAAAATTCCGTCACCTGTAGGGTCCTTCAACCATGGGTAGTTATTGGGACATCTGACGCAGGTCTGGAGATTAATGGTTTCTCCGGGAACCTCCTTGGAGGTGAGTTTGCAACTGTGAGGTACCCAACAAGCTGGATTTCCCTCTACCACACACTTTTCCCTCCAGGGCTCGAAGTTCTTCGACTCAGTGATGGTTCTGGGGTTCTGAATCCACTGAATTACCTGGGTCATGGTCACGAAGTAAACATCATTGTGGTTGGAGAGAATTTCATCAATCCAATACAAGAAAGCGTCTAAGAATTCTGGGTTGTTTCTCAACCAAGCTGCATGGAAGTACAGTCCCAAAGGAGCTCGGTTCTCTTCGTAATGCCGATCGAAATTATGGTTTAAGAAGTTGTAGAACTGATCTCCTGTCAGAATATTCGAACAGGAGTCCACCATAGCGCATCCAGGTATGTTTTCATCGTTAGTCGGATCTTCTCTTCTATCTAGCTCGTTCAAGACCATTTCCCAGACGGCATGGGATTTGGTGGGGCATTTTTGAAGGTTGCCGTGGCACCTGTGCGGCATGCGGAAGTACATGGTGTAAGGCCATAGAGGAGGGTTATTGAGGGGAGCGGTGATCGTGGAGTCGTACAGGAAGGCTTGGTCTTCCATCATGGTGAACTGGTTGTTGCCTCCCACTCTGAGGTAAGGGGCCCGCACGCCCACCACGCTGTTGTCGGTGATGTTAGCGTATTTCTCGGTGATGAGACGCTGGCCTCCCATTTCTCTGGCCCAGTCCTCGACGGAGGCGTTCGACCAGAAGTTCTCGTCATCGTTGTGGCTGGAAAGAAAGAGGATATATAGTGTGTTGCAAATAGATAGGAACAAATTTGTTAATATACGTAAAAAAGGTCTGTGCTGCTTAATTATGAAAAGTGTATCACTTTGTTCCTGTTAACAAAATGTTAGAAAACGGTTTGGTACCTCTCTTTTATCTGTAATCGTGAAATCGTCGACTTTTATTCGTCCGACTGGTAAAAATCGGGAAATGTTTTTTAAACGTCTCGAATAAGTATTAATTATTGCGACTTGATTGACAATATAAATAATGTCATTTTAACGCCTAGCCATAAAATAACAGTACTTTACGCCTGGGCACAGAAAGTTCAAAAATATATAAACTAAAAATTGACATCAAATTCACGACGAGTGTAACCATAGTTCCTGGATATAAAAGGGTGGTCGCAACTGTATTCCGAAAACTCTGGACGGTAATTTCTGCAGATGAAAATAATTACAAAAGTCTCGTATAAATGTATGTCCTAAAATGGCTTAGTGTCGGAGATATACAGCGTGTAGAAGTTTTCCAATACATACAGGATCCGGCAATAATGCGTCTGGGGCAATCTGTAGTTCCTAGAATATAAAACTTGTACAGCCAAACTGCAATTAATATTACAGGGTGTTCAATTTAAAAAAAATCATCCCCGATCCGCCCACCATTTTTTGATCCACCCCTAATATAAGATTAACGATATTTCCTGAATACATCCGCATCCATACTTTAAGTTCATATTTTACACATAAACAAAAATCCCAAGTTTTTTCTTATCTAGGAGATACAGATGCCTGAGACACTATTGCCGGACTCTTATAAAGAAATTTTTCGTAGAAGTAACGTCCATTTAGATGGAAAATTAATGTCTTCGGCGATGTGATAAATTTGCATTTTCATGTTATTGACACCCTATTTGTAGTTGTTTACAACCTACATGTGTTTAACTGTTTTAAAAGTGATTAACTTTTCGTGGCCGTACCTGGTTAGAATTAGAATTTTAGAATTTAGAATTCGGTGGGAGGGGGGTTAAATCAGCTTCGACCTTACGGATCCATTGTGTCCCCCCTTTCTTGAATCATAATTCCACGTTCATACAGCCTCAGGCTTGACAAAAGCCAGTAGTCTGGGACGGTTTTATAGAGGGTAGTTCTCCATCGCCAATCAGTCGTACCAAGAATTTCATGGCACGATGTTGTCGTCTCGGTGCGCACTCAGTGATGAAGGTTCTGTGTTTCACCCTCTTCCCCACAGAATCTGCATTTCGCCGTTTCTTTCTTTAGTTTCAATCTACTGAGGTGTTCATTGAAGGAGACAGTGTCCTGTAAAAAACCCCGTGACCAATCCGAAGGAAGATTGTTCTTCTCAGACAGGAAGATCTGTGATTTTTCTTGATCAAAAGCATCTCAGAAACATCTTCGAGTGTCGTGTCTTAGACCCATTTGGCCAAGATTTCCATTCCAGCGTTGCGGATGGATCTTTTCCAAGTTCTCTGAGTTCCGCCATTGAGTTGAGTTCACCACTTGGCAAAGCAGAACGTCGGTTCATCTGGTCCGTAGGGTTAGGTGCGATAGTGTTTCGCTCCTTTCCTAGCTGATTATTTGCTTTTTCATTTGCCTTCTATTCCCTTCGTGAGCAGGACTCAGTGTCAGCCGAGGACTTTGTTTTGTTTCCCTACATTTATTCAGTTTCTCTATGCATTCTTTGACCAATTTCGAATTGATTGATTACTGAGTTGATCGCCTCTTAAACGCTGCTTGACTATTGAATAAGATGGCTAATAAGCTTGATAAGATGGCATTTCTTGTTTTCGATAGTTCCCTATCTAAGATAAGCTATACGCATCTGCTCGATAGCGTAGATTTTCTGCCTGTAGGATACTAGGGTAATTGCCCATTGTTTCGGAGTAATTAGCTCTCGGCCCAAACACTACGATCCCTGTTCCCGTATTGGTTTTGGAAGCATCAGTATACCAAGTTATCGTATGGTCTTTTAACTGCTAGGCAAGCGTTTCGCTCTTCCAAATCCTTCTTATTGCTCATACTACATTGACATGTTTGTCAAAGTTTTACGTTCTTGGCATATCGTCCACTGGGAGTTGCAGGAGTGGTATTTCCTTTTTCCTTTTTGAGGGTGTTCCAAGGCCCCTGATTCTGACCATTCTCCCAGTACTAATTCCGTAGTGACCATTCTAATCACTGTCGCATTGGCATATCTACCAATGTTAATGTGCAGTGGTGTTAGATCTAGAGTGACCTCCCAGTTGCTGCTGTTGGGCAGGTTTTCATGGCTCCTGTGATGCAAACACGTGCTAGTCTCTGGACTTTGCATAGTTTTAGCCTTGCCGTCCGTTTGCTCTAGTTTTGTGTACCAGGTAACTGCTCCATAAGTAATCATGGGTCTTACTATCATGGTATACATCCAGCGCAAAATGTTAGGGGAGCAGCCCCATCTATTTCCGGCCAGTCTTCTGCATATCATGAGAGCCTTTATGGCTTTGCTGGTAGTGTTCTTAATATGCCTGTTCCGCAGGACCTGTATAAAACTACTGAGTGAAAAAATATACATTTCCGTGACCTTTTACATAAAAAATGTCTCTTGGTAAAAATCTCTAAGAGCAACCGTTCTCAAGATATTTAGAATGGAAACAGTCAATGCTGCCATTCATTGACCAAAAAAGATAAACAACGTTTGAGTCAAGAATAGCTTATTTGACCTGAAAAAATATATTTGCCTGCCGATAATAATTATTTCCCTGCCGGAAAAATAAAAATCGTGTGCCTCACTTGGGTAAAAAATGTAGATGTAGATGGCAAAATATAATTTTACTGCCAAGCGACTGCCAGGCGACTGCCAATGACTGCGAAGAAGACTGCCTATGTATGTCTGCGATATAATTACAGTCGACTGTCTTAAGACTGATGCTAAGGACTGCCAGGCACTGCCAAGAAAATGTAAATGTAATTCCGACAGTGAGACACACAAATTTTGTCACTACAGGAAAAACAAAGAGACTAAACAGTGTTTGAAAAATTTTTGCAGGGAAAAAAGTGTTAGGTTCTTCATAAGTAAGGAACACAAAATTTACAAAATAAATAATTCCACTCATATAATGGCTTCCACAAATAATTATACAAGGTGAGTCTTACACAAGCTTTGCTTTATCTTTCCCATGGTAGTAGTATTTTAACACCTGTAACACAGTCTTTTGGAAAATTTTGGAATTTTTTTTAAATAAAGATCTATAATAAAAGTTATTTCTCTTCATTTCAGTTAAAAACCATAATATTTTGATAATATGACAACAAAGGTAGTAGATTAAAATTTTACCAAGAAAGGAAATCCATGAAAGATCCAACGGTTCTGAAAATATTATCAAAAGATTTTTGTTTAAATTTTCAATGAGTACCAGATTCTAATATTGTCAAAAATACTTCTTAAAATAATTAATTTATTTTAAAAACTGTTAAGAGAAAATATAATCTGTTCTTTTGTAGACTCTACTGCCTTAAAAAAGTCTGACTTATTTAAGGGGGACTCCGCGTAATTTAGCGTAGTGTTTTAGTCATGTTACTAGTGTTTTGTAGATTCTATAGTATAAACTTTGTTCATGGGACGCGGGAAGAAATGAAATTCTTAGGGGAGGCAAAGCCGCGGTAAAAATCATAAAAAATTGGACATTTTGGGGGAGGGTACTTATTGGGAAAACTGGAATTCGTCCGATTTTCACCCAAATTGGTATACACACTATTTTGAGTAGTACGTAGATTAACGAAATCTGACACATTTTTTCTAGGCCAGGTTTTTCCAGAAAAAAACGGAAATAATTCTCGAAATATCGGAATTTATTTCATTAATTCTCATATTTTTAAGCTTTTCTAGCACATATTTGTTTGCGTATTCCAATAATACAATAATGTTTTGTCTCTCTTTCTGTTACACTTTTTCATTGCAACACATTCTATGCAGTAATTAGACGGAAAATATTTGCGCGTAAAATAATTTTTCTAAACAAAATACAGAAAATTTATTATGGTTATAGCTTTGTTCGGGTTACCAATTCTGAACCGTCATAGAACTCTGCAGCGCATGCGCAAATGAAGTAATGTCTTCATATTTCCTTCTGGGCATACGCATCATCAGTTCTAGGACGGTTCAGAATCGGTAATAAGAGAAAAACCCGAAGTAAGTTTATGTGTTTCTGGCATTTAAGCAACGTTGCCAATGATAAACCTTTATAATTTAGCGTTTGGTTTTCTTCTCCGCTCTCTCTGGGATTACGAAGGGCGGTCGCCAGAGGAACAGCTCCTTCCCATAACTGATATTTTACCAATGAGACTTGACTTTTATAACCACGAATTTGCACGAAAGAGTTTTGATTGCATTTGGTTTGATTGCTGCAGAGGGTTTTTTTTTTTTTTGGGGTTTTTTATTTTTTTTTTTTTTTTTTTTTTTTTCCATGCAGAGGGTGTTAATCTTTTGTCTTTGTTATATATTAAGATTAACTAAAAAAAAAAGATAACCCCTCCGCAAAGACGGTTTAAAACCAATGCCAATCAGAAACTCTTCGGTAACTTTGGCGACTATAGGTGATATTAATTATTGTCGATCTCACTAAGCTAGTAATTATAATTTATTGTAAATCCACGCCCAATCACCCCGAAAAAAATAGAAAGTATCGGCAACGTTGTAATTCTTCAAATTTTAGATTAGTCAAATATATTTGTCTCTCTTTCATTACATAGGAGAGAGGAAGAAGGATATATCAAATGTCAAACTTCCATCTGGTCTCAATTTGTCTTTGCTATTTTGTTAAGAAAAACGTTTTTCAGTAAAATTTGGACATTTTTCAATCCCCAACTTCAAGTGTGGCTTTTTTAGATAAATATAATAATAATCGAAAAAAAAGAAATATCCTAGTGAAATTATACTTTATAGGCCGAAATAAAGAAAAAAAATTCAATTGATGAATAATTTTGCAGTTTCTGGCGCGCCGCCCATGAATTTGTTAGCATTGTTCTAAATATGAAGCATAATCTATTATAATTTCTTTTTCTTTTACTCATTTATATTATAGATAACTTTACTAGCCCTTATAATCACTGATCTTGGGTCTCTTAGGGTAGTCAATATTCCCCGTACTCTCATTAAAGTAGAACCCGTATTTTTTTACTATTTGCCAGTCATTTTTACGTGAAATTATTTCATTATTATTAAGTTTCCATCAACCTACTAGAATTAGTGGTTCACTTTTCAAATCAATCATTCTGTACTGCTTTTAGGTACCAAATCAATGACGTCATTGGACTTATTATAGATTCGTGTTCCGAGGTTCTGTTCAAAACTACCGGTACCTTAATCACACAATCGAACTTTACGTTGATCGAACCAGTGGGCGGCAATTTTCGTGACCTTTTCTATAAGCATTCCTGTACGGCACGCAGTAGTGGTGTACTTGTGTTGAGATGAAAGAAGGTGGACTTGAAATATCGCACCCATTGGGATTCTTGCGCTTGCCGTTGGAAAAATCTCTTTGTATAGCTTCGTGTTGTTGTTGATGGCGTCATCGAAAGTCACTGTGATCATTTGGGGTACGTCTTTAGATGGGAGATCGCCAGGAATGGTGGTGCCGTCTTCTGAGCAGAAACAGTCGGGCAGGTTGCATACAGCAGGGTCACAGGGTGGTGCTCTGTTAGGGTCATTGTCGATCATCTGATACAAAAGTGTTTCTTTTCCTCAATACATATTTTAAACAAAATCTGAAAACTGGTCCAATCCAATATCACAAATACACTACATTTCTTTGAAAAGAATTCTAGGATTTTCGTCACTAGAATGCAGTAAAAAAGTATCAACACAATAAATGAATCTAACCTAACTAACCTGCGTCCCATGAACGCTGACAAATCTTAGATTCGAAAAAATCGCCCTTTTTAAATAATCTTTATGGTCTTTAATTCGAACATTTGGTGGTCTAGACAAGATGTTTCACTAATATAAAATCTATCATATTCACATGGTATTTTGTGTATCACATTTTTTGTTTGTTTTTTCAGTGTTCATTGACTTGTGGACAGCAAACTGCAGGAGAGTGGTTTGAATAAATATGAACAAAATAAAGGATAATTCGTCGATTCTAAAAAAGAAAGAAAAATCACGGTTCCAGTGTTTCCACGGTCAATGCCACTAATGCCAGTAATAATATCGCAACTAATACTGTTAATGCTACGACTGATCCGCGAGCAATGTCCATACCACTAAAGTCGCTGCTAATGCCAAATTGTGCTATACTGCTAATGGCACTAATGCGATCGCTTTGTACACAACAATGCCGTCGCGGTTTACACCTCGCATTAGTATATCACTGATTGGCAAATTAGAGGAAACCAAGAATCTTTTTTTGTCATTTTATCAACAAATGCGCAACTAAATCTCTAAGTATAATAAAAATGTCACAAATTTAATCAAATTTTCTGAACGCCCAACTTTTAGTTGCAAAAAAAATCGTTAGTTTAGAGAATATCAAAATAAATAATACGTTTTTGTAGAATACATACCTGCAGCTTGCTGAGCCATTTTCAATCAAAACAATAATATAAACGTAAAAAGAGCACAAGAACAGCAACAATTTATAATTTTAAACATAAAATTTAGCCATTTACCTCTTATCTGTGAGAAGTAACAACTTTGACGTTTCGTTGAAACAAATGAATGCAACTAAACACACCCATAGCAACGCCATTCATGGCAGACATGATTTAACTTATCATTTATCTTTTTTTGGGAAATCTTAAACACATTTGCTTTTTCGAATTTCGATCACCTGTTTCATGCTAATACCCCACCGTGGGGCTGTCTGTTCAACATAAAGAGACTCAGGGCAAAAGCACGTGCACAATGCATCACGGAACTTCAATACGCTGATGACTGTGCTCTAGTTGCAAATACGTGACAGCAATTGCAAGAAATGTTGAACACATATACCTGGGCATACGAGGCTTTGGGACTTAAGCTGAACATCGATAAAACTAAAATCATGTGCACTCCCCCGGAAGATCACAACAATGTTATAAAAATCGGAGAAGAACTATTGGAATATGTAGCGGAATTCAATTACCTCGGCAGCTTGATCTCGGAAAAGGCCAATATCACTCTGAAATTCAGCACAGGATTAGCAGCGCCTCAAGAGCATTCTGGAAATTAACAGACATGGTTTTCTACAATCACAACTTGAGCACAAAAACGAAACTTGCAGTGTACCGAGCAATAATAATTCCGACAATGTTATAAGGAAGCGAAACCTGGGTGCCGTACCGCCGGCACACGAATGCATTAAACAAGTTGCAACAGAGACATCTTAGACAACTCTTAAGAATCAACTGGTTCCATCATGTCTCAAACGTATCGGTGCTTGAAAAAGCTAACTGCGACAGTATTGAAATCATTATTACAAAGTCCTGCTTAAGATGGGCTGGTCACGTATGCAGAATGCAAGAAAACCGCCTACCAAAATCTCTGCTTTACGGTGAGCTTGTCGACGGTAAGAGGAGGCCGGGTGGACAACTCAAAAGGTACAAGGACATTTTCTACAAAAACTTAAATGGGATGAACATGCAGAATGAGTGGGAAGAAGCAGTTCACAATCGAAGTCAATGGAGAAGAATTGTAAACTCATTTAACATTGACAACCAAAAAGTAAAGAGGCAACAAAGCAATGAGATTTTTGAATGTCCGGAGTTCGGTAGACAGATAAGATCACGTATCGGGCTTTTCAGTCACAATAAAGCTCATGAAAGAAAACGCCTTGCGTGACCATCTTGTGATGCGTGTCGAATACTCGTCAGCGAGTAATGGCAGTATGCATGTATGTATGTATTGACTTATTTAGTGTGGATTAAAATGGACCCAAGTGTATTTTGTGGATATTCGTATGTTATATTGTTTTTCTTATCCCTATTCCTAGGGAATGCTCCGTTTGTATGAAATTTTAAGTTGTATTGGGTGTATATATTGTGTACTGTTTTCATTGTGTGTATTCTGGGCCTATGGTTTGTGTTTTTTCTTTCAGAATTGTTTTCAAGAAATGAAAAGCCACAAAAGTATGAATATTATGAAAAAAAATGAAAAATAAATAATTATTAAACTAAATACACTAAAAATATACATTTTTGGTTATAAAGCAATTTTCTGTTTTTTTAGAATTAGTCATATCATGCTTGAGTTGTCACTATCGAAAATGAGAGTTACATAGCCTGAAATTGAAACTAAATATATTATATTTAGTAGGTAGTTTTGTTTTTGTTGGTAAATTTACATATTGAATTTTTTCAATGTTACTTCTAAGGAGAATGCGTAAAAATAGGAGTAGAATAAGGGAATATAGGTCATTGTATTCTTACGGGAACAGTAGGATATAAGAGACGTTTTAACCACCAAAAGTTCATAGAAATATAAGTTCTTTACGAATTACTTTGGCCATCAAATGATAAAAATTGGCTGGCAACTTGTAATACCTTATACATATATTGTGTGTTTACGTATATCTCTCGAAGGCAAATAATTATATAATCAACTTTTTATTGGCTAATTAAATAAACGTTTAATATTCTAAAGAGTTTAAAAGAGGTCTAGATATTGGAAACTTTTACCTCTCAGATAAATTTAAATGCCATTGAAAAGTGAGAGCGATATCAGCGAAACGCCAGGACCGTATTTTGAAATTTTAAACCCGTGCGTATAGACTTTTAAACCTTTCAGTTGAAATATAAAAAATGTTTGATGCAAATTATTATATAAATAATTATAAAACTATTTTTATGAGGATGATTACATTCTTAGACAAGTCGAAATGTAGAATTAAAATGTTTTAGGAGAAAGTTTTAAGCATTTAAGTAATTATCGATTGTAAAGTCAATTTAGATCTGGGAAAGGTTAAAATTTAACCTTTAAAATGCGCTCTTCCTAGGTTGGTTTTAGGTTGGCGATGATTTTTTTAAATAATATACAGGGTAGTCCGAATTTTATTTCGAAAACTTCGGTAGCATATTCAGCAAATAAAAATAAGTAAAAAAGTTCGTATAAATGTATGTCCTAAAGTGCTTACTATCGAAGATACAGGGTGTAGAAGTTTCATTTTTATTTCGATTTTTTCCAAATAATTTCTGAAGTAACGTCAATATTTTTGGATAAAAATTGGCATTTGGGAGTTTTTCGGCACGAGAAATTTGATTTTGATATCAATATGACTCCTATTTGTAGGGGGCGCCACCTACATGTGTTTTAACCTTTGAATAAGAAGACTAAGGAAGGAGCATATCAAAAATCTTAGGTACACCGCGATGGGCCTCAAATATGGCCGACTTCAATTCCGGTTTATCAGTGTCGTTCTAATTTTATTTAAAAAAATGTAAACTATGATGTAGGGTGTAGACGTGGGGTAGACTCAATAATTTGTTGTTTTATTTTACGTTGTGAATAAATGTTGGTAGTTATTAAAATTGTTATAAAAATATATAATTCTAATAAAAATAGATAAGTTATAATAAGTATTTATTAACACAAACATCCGATTCGTTACTGAAGCAGGTAAGTCAAATTAACGTATCTAAATTCTTTGACAGCATCTAATCTTTGACAAGTAATAAATAAAAGCTAAAATGCAAGAAAAATATATAATTTAGTTAATTTATGAATTTCATAAATGATCGGTTTACTACACGTATGTATATTATATAGTCACTTACTAGCGAAAGTTGTTCCATTACTTCACTCAATTTTTTCCGAGATCACCGCACGGTACACAACCAACTATTTCAGAGTCTTTTTCGATAAATCCTATGATAGTGTCACCGTTAATTTAAGTTCTGCCACAATTTCCATCTAGATTTACTACCTTTATACAACTATCAGTAGTAGAATAAATAATAAATAACATAAAATAAGCTCCAAAGACTGACAAATCCACAAAATTTCAAATCAAATTCAAATGTGTCAAATGAATCGTCAAACAGAACTGTCAAGGATCCCCACCCTAGAGAGCTTTTATGGTGCCTTTTCCGCCCACCATGCATGAATACATGGATAGCATTATGCTCCTTCCTTGGTCTTCTTATTCAAAGCTAAATCCTAAAAATAAAAAGGCGTTTCTGTGGTAATATAATTTCGATTTCATTCTTTGATAGATGGCATAGATAAATGAAACAAGTTTAGATTGGAAAGTGCCCATAAGGACAATGTAAACACTATTTGGCGCTATTCTTGCAACGGTCGCGACCCAAAACTTTTGAAAATTTCGGAGCGGTTCGGCTTTTTCCGGAATTATATCGCCAAATATTGTTTATTCAAATTTATTATAATTTTCGTTTAATTTTTCTAAATAAAATACAGTGTGTTGCATACAAGAAACTTTATTTTATATAAGGACGCATATATGAAATACCTATGAAACATTGGAAACCCACGTTATGGCACGATCCACGATGGTTTTTGCAGTTCACAGTTCACAGCACAGCTTTTTAAGTTTTTAATGCCAATTTTTCACAATTATCGCGGGTTTGAGTAAATACAATTTAAATTAAACTCACAAAAGAGCAATAATTACTTTGAAAATGGTCGCTTTAAACACTTTTCGGTATTTTTTCAATGAGAGCAGTTTAAATTTTAAAAGATTTTATAATAGTTTTTGAAGATTCTGACTTTGACAAGAGAAAATTATTTCTGTTCTTGTTTA